AATTTTATTTTTTTAATATTTTAAATAACGTAATTTATATAAATTATTTATATTAAAATTTAATCTTAAATTTAAGTTCTATTTATCATTATTCTTAAATTTAAAGCCCACTTGTTAGGGGAACTGAAAAAGGGCCCGTTGGGTCGAGTCGTTACGCATAGTACGCTACCAAGTCAAAAACGTTGGCCCACCAGGGCTATAGTGGGCTCGTCTTAGAAAGAAAAATCAGATTTAGACCTAAAAAGCAAACTAGCAAGCTTGCCCCTCATTGCGGGGGTTGTGTTCTGATGGAGATGTATGTAACTAGGGCCTGTGTATTTTCGGTTATAAATTGGATATAAGTAATATTTGATATTTAATTTAAAAATTTTTAAGTATGGTCTTTTAAATTTAATACTTATCTAAATATTTAAAAATTTATCTTTATCATGTACCTCACGAGTATATGTTTATGTATTTGTTGAATAATATTTTGTTTTAATTTTTTTTAAAATTTAAAATTAAATAAAATATTACTTACTTTCAATGCTTAAAAATTGCAAAAGGATGAGTATAAATTCATTATTTTCATTTTTCATTCATCATTCAAGTAATTTGACATTTTATTCTCATGGTTTTTAGCTCAGAAGTCATAGCGGAAGCAGCAACCAGTGGTGATAAGATTCTGGTTATCCAGAAAATTATTTCCGAAATTGATCTGTAGGATTATTGTTTCTTACAAATTTCCTAGAATTGCTATAGAAAAAGAAGAATCTTGCCCAAAAGACTGGTTTATCCTGGACCTTGCTTTGGCAGGACCAAAGTGAATGGCATTCTATCCACAAACTGAGTAAAATTTTCATTTATACACACCAAAAAATTGGAAGAAAGTAGATGTCAACCATAAAATTAACTAATAGTTGGGAAGAATAAGCTGAAATGAAACTGTCCACCCAAATAAGTTCAAGTATCAAGATTCAAGATCAGTTTCTTACCTATTTTTTTTTATCTCTGCCAGCATAAACCATACACTAAGGCACCCAAAATGATGATACAAGAAACGGTTGTGAGGCTGATAATGACATCTACTCTTAGCTTCCCATGAGCTGAAAATATTGAAGGGGAAAAACGAAGGGATAGAATAATGAAATGAATAGAGATGAATCAATCATTCTGGAGTGAAAAGAATAGAAGGGAGAAAGAAACTAAATTCATTTTGAAAATATTGCTTAAGCGAATAATATTGTCACCTAATTCAGAGGATGCAAGACGAATGAAAAGTTCTTCCCCACCACTGGAGAACTCTTGCATATCTATAAGCTCTTCACTCCACAGCAGACACCCTATGCCCATTACATATGCATAAGCTTTGTAAGAACAGTTATTCAAGCACCACTGTCCACATTCGCTCACATCATTAACTTCTTGATACTTGGAATTATCTGGGAGCTTCATTCCACACATTTTCCAAAACTTATCTGTTTCTGCCCTTGTGATGTTTTCTCACCAGTCCATGCCACACAACTTAATTCAGTTCATCTAATGCACCCTCCTGTCCAATTATTTTTGTTCCATTCGTCATCTGACTTTGGTACAAATCCTTTAAGGCAGCTACAAATACGAAATTCAGACATTTTACGGACCCCAAAAGGTCCACAAGTTCCATACTCATCACATGTATTATTTGGTCCTTCCCATATTGAATACCAGCCTGTCTTTTCCCCAAAACATCATCTTTAGAGATCCTTCGGATGAAATGATCATATTTGCAACTCTTTCTGTGGTGTTAAAATGCATATAAAAATACCCTATTCCTAGATCAATATAATGTAGAAGGCTAAATGCGCTTGAATCTGTTGAAACCATGCCTGGTAGACCAATAAACTGTAGTTTAGTCCACTCCCCGCTTCTCCACCAAGGCAGTGATCCATTCCAAATAAAAGCTTGTGGGGGTGACCGGGGTACAATTTCAACGACGTATATAATCCTCAGGTGATGGATCATTATTACTTTTCCATGATGATGAGACACTTCTCTCACCTGTTTCAAGATTATATCCCAGACCTGCACCAGGTAATAAAGTATTACCTGGGTTTTCAAAGCTTCGCCATAACCACTGTCCAGATAAACCATCCTGTAGAACGAATTTCCCATTATCCAAAAGGACAGCCACTGATCTATTAGATCGGACAGAAACATTGCTTGACCAGAGAGTTACTTCATTCCCATCTACTAGCTTCAGATTTCCATCACTACCAATCTTTAGACTTGCCAGTGAATCAATAACTGGATTCCCTCTGTTGGCCACCCAAACAACTGTGCGAGGAGCAATATTTTTATACAATATACCAACATACTGATTAGTGGAATTGTGAGGACGAGAGAAGCCTAACTCAAAAACATGGGCAGGGGAGATAAGGATTTCATTTTGTGATAATGGATTGGATGAAGTTATATTACAAGTGGCAGCATAGCCGTGCAAAAGAAACAAGTTCAAAAAGATGAAGATAGGAAGATAATAAAATGCAAAGGCGTTGGTTCCCGTAAGCATGTTCCTCCGGAAATTATTTATTCGTAAGATCAGAGATGTCAGTATGAATATATTCCATTTTATTTTAGGAAAATAATTTCAGGGTTCATTTGAACTTTCAGGAGAAAAAGAAAAAAAGCTACTAAACTTACAAGTCAATATCTATTCTATTTTGCAAAGAAATTCAAAGAATAATTGGTGGCAAACGGTGTGTATGCAAAGAAATTCCTTTGCTTGGAAGTTGTTAACAGTCTCGATCGATGGAAACGTGATTTTGATATAATGTATTTGAATTTGAGCCCCCAAATTTAATATTATTATTTATTTTCACTTAATTATGGTGTAATTGAATTTGAGTGAAATACTTAACTCGGTATATTTCAAAGAGTACAGAACATATGGGGATTTCAATTTCACCATAGAATTTCAATTCATGTCTCTGTGTCTCAACGTCTCACTGGCAGTCAGGGATGTTGATGCAAAGAACTCTTGAGTCTTTTCTTCCGTTACCTGCAAAGCTTGAGGTGGGTCCTCTGAATAGACACTCTGATACTTAAATTAGCAATAATGAGATCTGCTGAAAGGAAAGTAAAAGAGGACTTGAGATTGGTTTCAATTACCTTTTAGAAAGGACCCTTGAGAGTATTTATAGGATTCAAAGGGGTGTATGCATGTTCTTTCTTGCAGATAATTAGGATCATATGTGTCGATCATCACAGAAATTCTCATATAAAGACTGTGCATATACGATCCAGGATAGAAGGGATAAGCTCGAGCTCATCCGAGTTTGTCACGCTTTAATTGTGTACTGTCTCTCGGAGTTCCTCCGAAATAGCTTAGCTCGTCCGAGGTGGCTTACATCGGACTGCCATTACACGGGACCACTTATGAAGATTCTATTCGATGCTCACCAGAACCTTCTTCTCTTCCTCGTTGGCTCAGATGGACCACACCACAATCGCATCTCTTTATGTCTTAATTTTCATGATCTCTCCCATATAGGCATTCCTCAATGTGAATGGCTTCTTTTCTAATTCGGAATTTCTCTCCTAATACAAACAAGTTGGGGACAATCATATAACAAGGGACAAGCTTCAGTGGGTGAAATGTGAAAGGCTGGAGAAGCAGCAGTGGAACTTGGGTTTGTTCCCATCTTAAGGTATGGAAGTGGCCAGGTGGGTTTTTATCCTTGGAGAAGGAAGTTAAGTGTTTTGATTATTTTGCTGGAGTTATAGCTTAGACCCTCTGAACTTTTGTGGTTTCGAGGCGGCGAGGTTTGGAAAATTAGAGAGTTTATTTGTTGTGCAAGCTAGATATTCAATCAAATGCTTAAGAAAGTATGGGATGGTTTGCATTTGATATTTTTTAATTAAAGAACACTAGATATTTAGTCAAATGCTTATGAATATATGGTCTAATTTACATTAACAAAAAAATATATTTGAATTTCATTTGGCAACCTATATTTAAATTTGCAATATGTATTTTAAATGAATGTATTTGAAATACATATAATTCAAATACATAATTTTCAATTATTCTGTTTGGATTGCTATTAGCAAAAAAATGAATTTAAATTTCATAATGTACAAACACTATGTTTGGATGTTTTACAATGTCATTAATTTGAATTTGACAAACTCAAAGCAGAATTCTCTATCTCATGTAGATCAGCCCATACTCTCTTAGGCATTTGATCAAATATCTAGTGTGTTTTAATTAAAAAATCTCAAAGGCAAACCAATCCATATTTTAGTTTGAAATTGTTTTATTGTTGATCTATTTTGACTCACTTGAAACAGAACTTAGTTAGTTCAAAAATCAAAATGAGTACATGGGCGAAATTGCAAATTTGCACTCAAAATTTGAAACAATGAAATGCAACAAGTGCTGAACAAGGATTACACAAATGACAAAATATATTTCAAGGTACATGCTCGCCATCACCAACTTGTTCAAGAAAGTAAAGGCAACGTAATACACATGCTAAACGTACCTATCCGTGCATTCCACATGAACACGTACGATTCAAACTCTGAAGCCTCATTGATGGAATGTTAGGGTCAAACCGAACGTACACACATGCTAAACGTTCCATGTTCCTCCCTCGTATAAATCCATGTTTGCGCCAACTTTCAAAGACAATAGATTTGTTTCACGATGGCGTGCTTCGGTGTCGTAAATTCTTTAGCTAACGTCAGTGGTGTTGTCTGGATTTGAGACAAGAAGGGGCAAAATTTTGGGAACAGACGGGGGCCAAATTTGTGATATTTAAATTAAATTTGTGTTTATAAATTATTATTTTCCCTAGTATATTTTAGTTGTGTTAATTTGATTTTTGGTATAAAGTTTGATTTATTTATTTTATTTAGCAAATATATAACGACTGAAAATTTTTTCCTTCTCAAACATAATATCTGTTGAGTATTTTTAATTAGATCAAAAAAGATTTCCAGTTGTCGTTAATTTGTATATATAAAATTATTGAATTAATTAATATAAAGTTGATGAAATTGAATAACTAAAAATGACCAAGGGAATAACACATAATTGTAAATTTGTGTCTTAACTTAAACTTGGCAATATTCAATGTGAAATATATTATCCTTCAAAATTTTTGATAATTAGTAAATAATTATCTAATTGTATTTGTGGAAAAAAATATAATAAAACACATCTAAAAAATGTAATAAATTTAGAAATATATAAAAAATTTATATAGCAAATGATAAAATAAAATAAACAGATTTGATTTAATTAAAAAGTTTGAGTTAGAGGTGAAGTTTAATATTTGACTTAGAAAAAATGATATTAGTAACTAAAATGAATATTTTAGACTAATTTTAGACACTACAAATGTAATAATCTAAGTGTTATTCAAAAAGGGAAGAGAAATGTTAAAATTTTAAATACTTTCTTACCAATCTTTTGGTAAAAATTATTAAAGATTAAAAAGTCATTTTTGTGGTTAATAGATTAATTTTATTACTAATTCTTATATCAACATTCTATTTTAAATTTAATGACAAAATCTACAAAAAGAGTAATGATAATTATTTTCATAAATATCAAAAATAATTAAGTGAATAAACTAAAATTTATTGATAAAATTCTTAAAATACAAAATTGGTGGACTAATTTGAAAAATTTTAT